GCACACCACTTCATTCTCCATCTGCACACAGGCAACCTTGCCAAAAGAATGAAAGGATTCTATAAAATCCAATCAGAAAATTACAAGACTGAAGGAGAATTGAAGTCCACAGAAGTGAATCATTTACCAGTGCAACCAAATTAATCATTGTAGCAATCTGGGGATTTCTTTTTCATTTTTCTTCGGGTTTTTTATTTTATTTGTAGTTTTAGATTTTGTTTGTTTGGTGGTGGGGGATTTTGTTGTTATTTTGAAGGTTTTTTTAAACAAAAGGTTCTTACTGCACTAGTAAATAGTTTTATATGCTTCAGAGACAATGCAGCCTGTTTCTAATACTGAACAGAATAACATAATTAGGTAAACTTTAAATGTTGTTTCTTGCTTAGCACATTATTCTCAAGTGCATGTTTAACGACATTATACTTTTCTAATGTGTGTTTCTGGTTTTCTATATACAAGTTTTATCTGATCCTTTTAAATTATATAAAGTCCTGTGATACCCATGTTGCATCTAGTTTTAAGAAACAGCTTTGGTTTATAAAGTAAATGAGGGTAAACTGGGTTTCTCTAGTCATGGGAAAGCACTGTGAATAACCACTCTTTCTCTCCCTACACCATCCAATTGCAACACAAGTCAAAGAATGAAAGCGTTAGGTACCAAAATGTTTTCTGAACAATAGATCTGTTTGTTTATATTCATGCACACAGTTCTACCACTTTTAAAAACATTTTAGGAGACTTTCCAAATAGAAGCACTTTACAAAAAAAAAAAAAAACAACAACCAAAAAACACCCAACAAAACACACACACACACACACACACACACACACACACACACACAAAAACCAGGAAGAGCTTCTTCTTTCTTGTGATACAAAAAACCTGTTATTAGTAGACTGAAATACTTTTTTTTCCCCCTCAAACAACCCTGAAAATAGATTTAAAGTCACAGTCATTGCAGATTCAAGTCCATTTACACTTGTGGAAGATTCTCCCAGATACAGCATCTTTCAGTAAGCCTTAACTGCTGCACACAATCAAGTTTCTTGACATTTTTAAATAAGCCATAATACTAGGTAGGTTGAAACACAGTGTACCAAGATCTGTGGTGAATTAAAACCAGAAAAAAGCAAATATACTGAAGACAACTCATGGCAAGTCAAGTGAGAACAATACCTTGGAGTACTACAATTTAAAGAGTATAATAATTAAGTGGCTTCTAAAGCAAGCAATAAAAAAAAAAAAAGACATTCTAACAGTGACAGAAAATCAATATTTTTTTTTCATGTACCCTGACCAAAGTAAGCCTTGGGTCATGAGCTACAACTTGAATAGAAACCACAGTCCAACTAAAATGAATCCCATGTTATGAAGAGGATTAAATTGTTCCCTATATAACCCAAGAGTTTTTTCAAGAAACTCAAAGGTCAGAATTAAAGGAACTATTGTTGGAAATATAAAGTAGTTCTGCAAAATACTCAGTCTCCACAGAATTAGGTTTATCAGATGAGAAAAGCACATGGTAGGTTGAAGCATTCTGCTCGTCCTTTCACTATCTGACAATTGACTATTCTCACTCTTCTCTCACACTGTCTTCTCATTTGCCTTTTCAATCACCTCTAGACAAAGTAAATCTAAACAACAAAGTCCAATATAAGCATTTAATTGATATACTAGATTTCAAATAAAAGCATGATTAAATTTATTTATGTAATTTGATCAGGTATAATGAAAGAGAAACTTGGACTATAATTTTTTGGATAACAAATACCTAGGTACCAGTTTGCTTTTCCCACGTGCAACAGCCTATATCTGTGATACATCTATTAGAGATGGACCAATACCTATCATGTTATATTATTTATCAAACACTCAAGATCTCCAAGACAAAAAAATCAATTCTAATGCAAATGTCATATGTAAGATGTCAAAGAAAAATAATACAGTATTTTACCTTCAAAATAAAAACATAGGTAGCCTGGTTTTATTTTTAAATGGCTATTAGGGAACACAACACAAAAGTCCTTGGTAACACAGACCCCGCAGATATTTATATATAAACCCATTAGAACATATTAAAATGACAAGCAGATATGGTCATCTGGACATTAACCTTTGCCTTGTAACCTGTGAAACTGAATACTGCTGTTTGCGAACAGCAGCCACCGAATGTTATGCTATTCTTTCTTTTGATTGTTCTAGCTAGGGTTGAAAGGAGGAAAAACAATATTCTGCATTAGCATTGTTGATTATACAAGGTGGCTTTGCTCATTTTTTGATGCACTGTTTCTCTCCATGCATTAAACCTAAAGCTGCTTTCCATACAAGATAGAAGGTACATATGAAGTTTCTTGGTTATCTCACTTGTGTAGTAACTATGACTCACTCCCTTTACAGTGTTATAAAGACAAACCGTTTTAACTTGTTTTTAACTACAGTAGTTTTCAAAATGCAGACGAAGAAACAGACAACACCGTTAATGCCGCCAAACTATTTCTGAACTTAGTTCACAAGGTCACAGCTTATTTTCTTCCAAGGACAGAGGATGCATATACTCAAGTGCTCTACCCACGTATCTCTGCTTTGTACTTATATAATAAAGCTATTCCTCTCAAAGTTTCATTAGGTTTGTTTTTCTCTTGTGCAGCAAGGTATGTGTGGTGAACTTCTGCTAGCCCAGCTGTACTAGTGAGCAGTCAGACCTTTTCTCATGCAGATTCACCTGAACAAGTCTTCAGCACAGACCTAAGCTATAAACTACCCAAACTTCCAGAAACTGAAAAGCAATGGTAATGTAAGGAAAAGTGCTCCACACAGAGGTGAGAGAGAAAAAAAGAGCTTTACAGTGATCTCACCAGCACCATTACAAGTAAATGGCACAACTACAGCTTTCGTTTTTAAGAATAATAAAACCACACACATGCAATAGAGATCATACAGTTCCTGTATAAAATAAAGTATCAGTACTGAGAAGACCACAAATGCAGTGACCTTCTTGGAAAAAAGTACCAAGTCATTGCCATGGTTTAAGCCCAGCTGGTAACTCAGAACCACGCAGCCACTCACTCACAACCCCTCCTCCCTTCCTCCTGCCCCGTAAAAGTGACTAATATCTATACTGCTTAGTATTGAATACCCTCTAGTGGCTTCAGTTTGAATAGCAACGTGTTGCTGAATTACATTTTAAAATTGTTCTTAGGATCCATATCATAAGTAATCTAAAACATCAGAATTCTGAAACAGCGACTAACACTGTTAATGAATTACAGGAATAATACGTAGTGCAGGAGGAGAACAGTTTCACTTCTTTTTCCATTACAGTGCAAGTAAACAGGGGAAAGGCCAGTTATCACAAAGGTTTACAAAACAACACACATACATGCACACAGTGCTGCTATGCAGTAAAAAACCAACTCAATCAAATCATATTTACCTACAAACCCACAGTGGCTGATGAGTATATTGGCATAAGTAAGAAAAACCTAAACTAAGATAAAAAACCACAAATAATTGTTTCAGGCTATAAACTCTAGGCAAGTGTCAAACATGCTGGAAAACAGGCAAATCTGCCACAGAATACATGCAGGAATAAACGCATATTGCTTGTTTTATTGAGAGTGCTGAAGTAAAGGTTCATGAAAAAAAAGAATTTTCAAGGTATCATCAAGCACAAAATCACTGTTTTGTCACTTTTTCACTTATCATGTTCTGGCCTAAGAAGTCATCGGCAGTATCTTACGCTCCAGATTTGTAGAAATACCTCATATTCCAGATTCCTAGAAGTTTATGTGTATGTTCAGCATAAGATTTCCCACTGAGTTCCTTGCATTCGTTCCAGTTGGGATTGTGAGTTTCCACCACTGTAATGTATTCACATGTGCAACTAGCTTACAGTCAGAAGTCTTAATTCTGATATCACAACATGAACTTTTATTGGGGCATTTATTTTAGGTTATCATTACAATTTCATAGGAAAGTGATACAAATACCAAGGTCCTTTCTATGCTTTGAAAACAAAGAGAAATTACAGAATAACCTATAACTGAAGACAGAATGATGGTGTATTCTGATGATTCAAAGTAGCAGCATAGCCATTGAACAAAATTAACTGCTACATGGCATCAAAGAAATAATGGGTAGTTGTACGGAGAACTTTCATTTAATAATGTGACTTCAAAAAAAAAAACCAAAAAAACCACCCCCAAACACAAAAACCAACCCCAAACCCACACGCTTTTGCAGATCTTTAGAACACTACCAAATCTATTATACCAAATATCCTATGCTGCACGCAAAAAGCGTAACATATGTTTAACAGAAGCAAAAAGTGCTGCACTGATGTTTGGCACCTACTTATCTACCTTACCCATCGTATGTTTCCAGTTGCAAGGAATGGGAAATAGATTAATACATATAAATGGTTTAACAGGCTAAGAAGTATATACATAGAGATGCAAGATCATAAAAGTCCTACAGAAAGTCACACAAAAAAACTCCTTTGACATGATTCAGCTTAGGTGTCCTTGTATAAACTTCCGTTTGAAATGGGAAAATACTACACTAATAAGTTTGAGATACTAAGTAACTCAATTGCTACCCTCTAGCAACCTGTAAGTATCACTCTCAGTTTCTGTTTTATCAACAAACATGGCTATAAAGTAATGCATTGCTATACACAGGCTATTTTTATAACTAGATCTTTACATCCCTCTTAAAAAGTAGAAAAAACAGACATTTAAGAGTTTGCATTAGACTTCCTACTGAATTTTACTTCAAAGAGCTAACATGACTGAAGATGAAATTCTGTTCTCCCCTATGACAATAAAAGGCAGTAGCCTTATCTCAACACTAAACATCTATTCAAACTACTAAAATTCTCTACCATATAACACCACTGAATACCAAGAAAAATCAATTAACAACTGCCATTGTCTGAAATAAGCAAAACAGCTCTGTATTAGATAAACAAAATAATACCTACATTCTGTAGCAAACAAAATCAAAAATTTCAATTAGGAAAAGAAGAAGTAGTTACCTGTGGCCTCGAATATCAGACTGATCACAGACTCCTCCTAAGGCAATTCTGTGGAATTCTCGACCCAATGTCTTTGCAATTGATCTTCCAACGCTGGTTTTACCAACTCCTGGGGGTCCCACAAAACAAAGAATGGGTCCCTTGAGGTTGTTTTTAAGCTGACGGACAGCTAAGTACTCCAAAACTCTCTTCTTCAGCTTCTCCATAGCATAATGATCATTATCCAAAACAATTCGAGCTGCACGAATTTCCAGGCGATCTATCAATAATTGATAACAGAAAAGATACGAGCACATATACCTTTTAAAAACGGAAACAATTCATTCTCAAACATGTTCATCAAAACAATCTCACTGACACACACACACACTTTTCAGACGTTTTCCTCAAACAAAGGTATTATAATTCTCACTTAATTAGACATAAGATAGACAGATTACAGTAACAAAATTTAGAAATCAAAAAACCACCAGTTTACAGCGTCACAGAACAAAATCTGGTTCAAGTGAATTTAGGGAATGTGGCTCAAATGAACTATTCTGTAATAGCAATTGAATTATGAGTAAATTTTTCAGCATTTACCTTCTCACAGAAGTAAGTTAGATCCTGTAAGGTCTTCTCAAAAGACAAATGCATCCCTATGCCTTGATTACCTACTTATGATAAGAGCCTATAACTATCTCACAAATGCAGCAAGATTTCATAGGCTTAAAGGGCACCCTTTACTTACTATGCAACATGAAGTGATTTAGCACTGTATAAAATACCCACATGATACCACTACTGGAAAAATTAGGGTTTTGCAATTGCCGTGATTTGTGATAAATGGTAAAGCCTCACTGGTGGACATTAACTAATGCTTTACAAAAGGTAGGAATTTCTGGCAGCTGTCTTCTCCTTTGCTCTACAATATAAAGATAGCAAGCTGGAAACAGTGAAGTCTATCAGTTCTGCATACACCCACCCTTCAAATCATATTCATCCTACATGCAGACTCCTCATACTGTAAGCGTGCCTATTTCACATGCAGACAATCATGACTGAAGCCTCATCAACAGTGAAAATTTTTGTGATGACCTACTAGACAAAAAATTCACTAATGATCATAATTTTCTATTGTATTTTCTATCTTCATATTCATGTATATATTTATTCACTGTAGCTACGGATTCCAAAGCATCACTCACATGAATAGGAATACAAACGTCAAAACTTTGCTTAAAGTGAAACTTCACACTACATGTGACATGGCATAATTTTACAAGATTAAAGAGCAAATGAAACCAAAACATCATTCTTCTAGGACATCAGTATCAACAACTATTTTACTTGGTTTGGTATTCTTTGAGTAACACCATAGAGATCTGCAAAGATCTGCAGGCAGATCTTTTTACAATTTAATGATTAAAGAAAACAAGGCTCTAGCTTAAAACGGCCGAATTTCATCACCACGCTTACTAAGAGGGCAAAAGACAGACAGACATTTCTGCTGGTGTGTTATGTTAAATTTCTTTTTTAAATCACATTCAAAAGCTTCATTCTTCAGTAGCTGCTAAAAAGAATTAAAACCCTTATCTCCAGCAGAACACCTTCTGGAAAGTCATTTCGCCACTTGATCTACATGTGTTGTTCACTAGGAAGTCATGTTTGGTTTTCAACTCTGCTTGCTCTCCATTTTTGTACACCACTCCCGTATTAACAGTATCTCTCTACGCTCAACATCTGAAAACAAGAGTACAAAGCTGACGTGACATTCAGTTTTTCTATTGTACCTGATGTTGCAATTATTAAAATTAACTACAATTGTGCTTTTTCATCCTTTTGTTCCTCACGAAACTTGAGTAGCTTAAGACACAACAGAACCTTATTTTATCAATGATGTTTTTACGGTCAGACAATGAGACAAACATGTACACAGTGTTTACATGATGGTTACCAGTCCTAAAATGTCTGTGTAAGACACAATCAACAATAAAGGAGTTACCTTTTGTACTCTTGTTCCATGGCAATTCTACCATCAGTTCCAAGTAATTTCTTGTCAAAGCATATTCTGGCATTGATTGAGGCATCTTCTTTAATCTGGAAATATTTGCACAGAATTCATAAGGCTAATCAGGAATTAACTGCAAAGTAAGACTCTTCTGCACCATAAGATGGACATTTAGTAAACACTTTAAAAAACAGGATACCATCTTATTTTCTGACAAAGTAATACTAAAAAAGCAAGTCACTACTCCACCAATCATGAGCTTGTCTTTGCATAATAATAGGTTATTTATATGATACAAAGAGAAATTTAAAAAGAGTCCATTTCCTATGCATACACCGCATCCTCAATGCATGCATCACTATCTATGTATCCTCACTGGAAGAGGTTGTTATCCATCATGGATAGCACAGTTATCCAATCACGAAAGAAAAACAGAAGAAAAAAGACTCAATAAATGGGTCAGTTTTAATCAAATAATTATTAAAACTGGTATTATTCAGCTGAGTTTTTTAGCTCCTCATAACATAGGGGCTTAGACCTTACAGTTTAATGCAATATTAATGTATAAAACATATCTAGAAGAGTTCATATTTCTTTGTCATCACTTCTGATACTCAAAAAAGATGATGAAATGTATAGGCAAAAAACAACACTCTACTAAATTTTTAAAAATAATTTCCAAAACACAGCAACACAAACACACAATCAAATAAGGGAAGGTTAATGCAAGAGAAGAAACCACCATATGAAACTCTCCTACCTCTTTATTTCCTTAAGACAAACTTTAAGAGCTTGTTCTGACATACTGGATGATCTAATCTTTTTTTCCAGCATGACAACATCATCATGATCTTCTTCCTCCTCCTCATCTTCTGTAGTGCTGGGAATGTGATTGGTTCTTCTATTAGGACGGATAGCTACAACCTATGAAATGGAAAACAGCCAGATTATAGTATTGTTTTTTAAATCAGACAGATACTTTGGCTTTGAATGGAAACCATGACAAAAATACACAAGGTGCTGGGAGAGCCTCCACAGAAAAATTCAGAAGACTTTAATCCAATAAATAACTTCACAAAGTATTATTGGTACTACTTTAAAAAGTTACAGCTGTTATATTGCTGTATACTTAGGAAATACGTACTTCCTAGGTGCATCTACCTGAACAGAACACAAGAACAAAACTGTTTATGAGTTCTTGGGCATTGCATCCCAACATATTAAGCATAATAAGCCTTATTTTTACAAAACAGGCATTGTGGTTTAAGCCCAGCTGGTAATTCAGTATCACGTAGCAGTTCGCTCACTCCTCCCCTTCCTCCCGCCAACTCCCAGAGGGATGGGGAAGAGAATCAAAAGAATGTAACTCCCACAGGCTGAGACAAGAGCAGTCCAGTAACTAAGGTGTAACACAAAAACACTGCTGCTACCACCAGTAATAATAACGGAAATAACAATGGAAGCGAATACAACCGCTCACCAACCGCCAACTGATACCCAGCCTGACTCAAGCAGTGATCTAACCCTTCCAGGTAACTGCCCCCAGTTTATATACTGGGCATGACGTGCTGTGGTATGGTCTTTGGTTAGTCTGGGTGAGGTGTCCTGTCTTTGCTTCCTCACAGCTTTCCCTCCTCCCTGGCAGAGCATGAGACTCAAAAAGTCCTTGGACAGACTAAATATTACTGAGCAACAACTAAAAACATCGGTGTTATCAGCGCTGTTCCCAGGCTGAAACTCAAAAACACAGCACTGCACCAGCTACTAAGAAGGAGAAAAATGAACCAAGGACACCTGAAAAATGAGCCAAGGGCAACAGGTAAATCTCTTTTACCTTTTTTCATTTCTCAATTACTTGCTGCTTACTAAACTGTGTAAGTATAGGTAGATGCAGAAAAAGTCTAAGGTGCCCTAGTTTAGCAAGCTACATTTTACAATACATATATTTTATCTGTATTTCAAAAGCTATCACGCACCTGCAATGCCATTAGCAAAAGGTACACCTTTCACTGAACTGGACAAAACTCAATGTGTGTTTGCCACTGGGCATCAAATGAATCTTTGAAGGAGCCTGAGCCTTTATTCAATGTCAGAAAGTGCTCAGATGGAAAAAAAAAAAAAAAGGAAAACAATAACAACCCAAATAAAACCCCACCCAAAAAACCCCACCACCCAAAAAAACCCCACACAAAACCAACCAACCAAAACTAACACACACACACACCCCCCTCCCATGAAAATAAAACCAAAATGATAACAAAACAAACCCCAAATAAAACCTTGGCTATTTTTAAATTATATTTTGTCTTTTAGGTACTTAAAATACTAAAGTTGCCACCAGGCTGTTCTCTGCAGCTCGAGACTGACCAGGAAACATTACTGCTATAAATTAAAACTTTGCACAGATTAAAATTAGTGAATAAGCATTAGTATGCTTAAGAGTGTATCTTCATACTTATTTACGATGTTTAATTATCCACATTTAATGTCCATACCCTTTTATCATCATCCTGTTTGGGCTTTCTTGTTTTCTGAAGCAGCTTCAAGCCTTCAATCTGCCTAACAAGCAATGGTATAGTCATCTTGAACCGTTCTTCCAGCCTAACAGCATCTAAAATCTAAAAGCAAGGAGTTGTAAGTTGCCAGTGAGTTCATTCTGATGGATCATCAGCTTCAGGGAAGGGAACATGAAGGACACTGTTACTGTCTTCTGACCAGTTATACAATAGATGATTTAGGAAAAAAGGCAGCAAGAAAAGCAATGAGAATACAGTCCACAACCCCCAGCCTCAGAGATCTGGATGCCAAAACTACAAAGCACTCCAAAACAGAAAAAAAGTCCTTTATCCTGTCTGGTTTTAAATCATCTTAATATTTCAGTTGCATTTTCTGTGGCAGACATCTATCAGCATTCTGGTTTTCAATTACTGACTTGAAAGAGTTAGACCTCTCAGAAAGTTACAGCATGATCACTTTGATTAACCCAGAAAAAATCACCTTATGCCTTAAGGGATTTCTTGTCTGTTTGTTTAGAGGGTTTTTTATTTTGTCTTTTTTAAATTTTATATGCTATTCCATTTTCATTACTAATGAAGTTGCTATGTGGAAACGGGTAGAATTTAGCTCTTCCTTTTTCCACAGCTCCCACTGGCTGCTCTTTTCTTTAGCACTTCTAATAAACAGAAAGGACATGGTAAATTTAAGTATTTATGTACCTTCCTCCAGCAGGACATTCAGCCCAGTACACACCTTCACTTCAAATTAATTTCTGCATTAACTTCTACTGTGCTTTGAAAGAACCTAGCTTATGCTTTCAATTCAAGGTTGAACATGCAGCACTGTCAGTGACAAAAGAAACAACAAAACTTCCAAATACAGCAAAGAAATACAGAAATCAGGCTAGTAAGTCTAAGCCATAACCATCATTTTTGTATAAAGTCACGTGGACATACGATGCACATTTAACCAGTGTCTCAGTACTTTAAACCACACACTTTGAGATGTTTTTTTTAAATACTTAAAAAAAAGTTCTTCTTTTGGTAAGAAGAAAGCTGTTGGTATTAAGAGATGTATACTGATGTCAGCTGTGATAAGTAAGCAGGATTTCAACACAATTTGAAGAATGATTCCTCATCTTTAATGTTGGAAGGGGAAGTCCATGTTGTACTTATTGTTTAATAAAATGAACTGTTTCCAATGCTAACTAGATTAATTTACCTATTAGGTGAGTTCTGATACATGCATATATAAACACTCTAAACAACAGCAGAAAACCTTTTTACAAATATTCATGCTCAGGTGTAACACAAGTAACTTCTGACACAACATTATCACTGTACAGTCTCAAGTGTAAGCAACTTCACAATTATCTAAAAAGTTAATTAACTGAAAAATAAAACCCAAACCAGCAAACACCTAATTCCACTTAAAAAAGGTTTAAGGTCGTAATACCTGAAGCTTCTCCTGGTTGGAGGTACGGATGATAGAAGTCAGTATATCTGGCAAAGCTTCTCTTGGCAGATTGTCCAAAAGACGTCTCAGCTTTGCAACTGCAGGAACGGACATATCCAGCATCTCAACCAACTGTAAGGAACATATGATAAACAATATTCATGGTTGTTATGTTTCTTTTTATCTGACTTAAAAAGGGTTGCATCTTTCTGCATGAAACATGTCTAGGTTCTTTTCCAAAAAGCTACTGAAATACATTCTTAAAAGTTCACAGGAGGCACTAACTGAGCACAAGGCAATCAAGGTTTTTGTTTTTCAGCTTGTGTAAGTAGTTAAAAATATCATCATTTGAGGCACTTTTTTCAGTGCCTACATCCCTTATTTTCCACACACATGCTGAATAAAACTTTCCCAGTTACCTTAACACTACAATGACTTCTTCTATACATCCTTTAAACTCAAACTCATTATACCTGGGGACATCTGTTTACAACCAAGGTTCTAGAGGGTTTTTTCTACTTTAATAATTAAAAAAAAAAATCAAACCAAACCACAAAATTTCAACCCATTGTATATGTTTATACATATACATATGTAATCCAAGAACAAAAAATCAAAAGTATTCCTTTTCTTAGTGTATTTACAGTAGTACTATATATAAAATAATACAAACTTATCACAGTGCTAACATATACAGTTAGACTCATACTGCAACAAGCTGTATATACATCCTGCAACTCAATACAGAAACCTTAACATGTAACAAAAATATTTATTTTGCAGAAGAAATACTGAAATTCTAACAGTCACTGAAAAACATAAGAACTACAGAAATAGGGCAGATAAGAAACAAAGAAAAAAATGCATACATTGATATATGATATATAGGATTAAAACAGTTCACCTGCACTGCATACTTGTAGAATTGTTCTGACAGCTCTCCGAGTTCCTCCTCAGATTTATGCTGATTAGTAAACTGCTCAAGTCGATCTAACTGCTCAACTTCCGCCACAGGATATGGCTTCTCTTTCAGCAACTGCAGGATCTGGAATCGGCAGAGGCCTGTAACCAGCAACGTGTAATGTGGCTTGGGCCAGTTGCTGCCAACCACCTGCACTGCCAAGGCAGCAGTGCCAATCCTAAAACCAGACCAAATCTCTGTGTTACTTGTCACCTTCCACGGAACATTTTGTGTGCCCAGTATTAAGCAGCAATCAAACTAGAGGTTGCAAGCACCTTCTGGGTCACAGTTATTTATCATGAAAAGCAACCAAATTACACAGCCTCATTTGTAACACAATTACCTGAAAATTAATGAGATAACTGAAAAACTAAGATAATATAATACAGTTACCCAACTTAGAAATATATTTTTTTCATAAATAATTTAATGAAGCTTGCTGTTGACAGGAACACTGACATTTCTGCTTAAACTAACATGCTGGGAAATTGAGTGTAATTTACAGTTCTTCAGTGAAATTGTCAGCCTCATTCTGACCAGTTTTAACATGCACATTATTAAGCAGATATAAACCAGAAGTTACTTTCTTGCAAAAACCTTACTAAGTCCACTGATACGATAATTTTGAGAGTAAGTGTTGCAGCATGTTAATTTTACTCATCCTTTATCCGACAGAAACAGGATAAAATTCGTTTTCATTTTATCTGAACTAGTACTCTCCATGCTACTTGTTACGTGAAAAACGCTAGCGTTAACAACTGCCACAGGCTGAACGCTCGTGGCCTGCGCTCTTTGATCCTATCTTCCTCGTCCACCTTGGTCTCCTCACTCAGACCCTTCTTCCCCAGACGCCAGCCTGACAGCCCCTGCCGCCACGGCCGCCTCCAACAGGCTCTCCTCTGGGGCACCGAGGAACGCCCCCCTCACAGCGGCGACGCAGAGCAGACTCGCCCCCGCGGCCAGGCCCATGCCCGCAGCGCGACGCCCCGCGAAGGTGACATCAGGGCAAGCTCGTCCCGCGGCCGCGCCGGCCCGGCCAAGGGGGGTTATGAAGAGGGTCAGCCGGGACCAGCGAGCCGCGAGGGCGAGCCGGGCCGGCAGGACAGGGCAGCACCTGTGAAGGGAGGGCAGGTCGTCGCAGTCGGAAGTGGGGTCACTGGTGTTGGGGATGACGCCGATGATGGTGCTCCTCAGCGAGGTGCCCTTGAGGAGCCGGCTGCGCACCAGCTGCATGTTGCGCGGCGAGTCCACGCTGGTTCGCATGGTCGAACCAGGCAGCAGCACGCCCTCATGGGTGAGCAGCAGCGGCAGGCGGCTGGGAATCTGGATGGCGCTGCCCGCCGCCATTACGACCCGCTCTCTTCCCCAGCACACGCTGGCGAGACAGGGCAGCCTGGGCTCCGCCCCGCTACGGGCGCCGGGACGGAACAGTCCGCTCTGCACCCGCCCCGCCGGGCAGCTCCCGCACAGCGTGTCCTTGCCGGTGAAGTCACCTCTCCCTCAGTTTTTGCCTTTTTTTTAAAAAAAGACGAGTCCCGCTGTGGGTCAGGGCCCGGGGAGTGCTGGGCCCCGCGCCCCGAGCGGCGGCACGGCTGCGGAGTCTGACACAGGAGAGGCAGTGTGACAGATTCAACACCGGTTAAATGTGACAGTTTCTGATGCAGGGGGTTGACCAATGTACAGGGGGGATGTACAGGGGGGTTATACAGGGGGTTAGAGGAATTCGCTCACTTAACAAAGGTATCTCTCTATCTATCAAGCAGAACAAAGGCACTAACTATACTAAGCAGAACAAAGGCACTAACTATTGATCGGGAAAAGCAGACGCCTGAATCTACTGTTAAGGGGGAGAAGCAGATGCTTTATGGCTGGGACCAAACCCTAAGGCCATACGTGGGGACTAAAAGGTGAACAGTTCAAGAAGAGGTAGGCTCATTTACTTCACCTTGAAGACCCCTACTCACAGAAGGAAGACTAATTTACTTCATCTTAAGACCCCTGCCCATGACCAGAGGGGGCACTACGCAGGAGCAAAGGACCTTTTAGCTCATTGTAATACGAAGCGGGGATAGGATATGAATATGTATAGGCGTATGGTGTAACCTTACAAATGTAGAGGGAACAACACTGAGGTACTCATGACTTTGAGGAATTATCCCCGTGCATCTCAGCACTGAATAAAAAGCATACCTACTTTACAACTTTTAACGAGTTGTGGAGTCAATCTGCGCATCATTTCCAAGTGAAAACCATTTTGTGCTTGTTTTTACAAAAGCCTGCTCTTCTGGGTCCGTAACCAACCACCCCCCACCCCCACCCCCGCAGTACTGTGTCCAGCTCTGGGGCCCCCAGCACAAGAGGGACGTGAACCTGCTCAACTAAGCCGAGAAGAGGCTGTGAAGATGATCAGAGGGCTGGAGCACCTCTGCTCTGGAAACAAGCTGAGAGAGCTGGGCTTCTTCAGCCTGGAGAAGAGAAGGCTCCTCCAGAGAGACCTTAGAGCAGCTCCAGTGCCTAAAGGGGCTGACAAGAACACGGGAGAGGAGATTTTCACAAGGGCCTATAGTGACAGGACAAGGGGGAATCACTTTAACCTGATAGAGGGGAGATCGAGATTAGACATTAGGTGGTGAGATGCTGGCACAGGTTGCACTGAGAAGCCACGTCCCTGGCAATGTTCAAGGCCAGGTTGGAAGGGGCTTGGAGCAACCTGGTCTAGTGGAAGGTGACCCTGTCCATGGCAGAGGTTGTAACTGGATGAGCTTTAAGGTCCCTTCCAATCCAAACCAGTCTGTGGTTTTACAACATCTCTTCTGCAGGGCAGGGGTCCAAAGCCTGAGCCTTCCCCAGGGGCTGGGGTATAGTGAAGAGCAAAGCACTCACTGGTGCTCTTCTTGCCAAGGCCAGGCCAGATGCCAGCAGAGGAGGGACAGAGGCACTGGGGCCTCACCACTGCTGGGGAGTCCTACTACAGTACAGCTATTTTCAGCAGGCCTGGAGGGATTAGCCAAGGCCATAGCTCACTGTGATCAGTAACATTCCTTTGCCTAGTCCTGCTAAAGCCTGCCCAGGGGAAAGGGCTCGACCACTTAGGCCCTATGGAGAGTTCAGATGAAAAAGCAGCTTTTAGAAACTTTCCTTTCAGCCCCTCTGGTGAAAAGAAGTGCAATATCAAAATTGCATAATATAATGAGACACATTAGCCAATCACTTGTTAATCAGTGACTTGCACAGTATGTTTTGAGCAAAGGTAATCCTGTACAGAGGGGAAATCTCAGTAGCAACAAATATGACAATTTGAAATGGACAAGTGTAGCTGCAGTAAAATAATAGCTTAATTGTTCAGTTTATTAACACCTTCATCTGTTGGCCTACTGGAGAACACAAGGTATCAGGATGTATGGAAATACTAACAATGTATTTAAATGCAAAAATTTTAAGAACATATTACAAATATCTTCTAAAGATATTAGAAAAGTAAAGTTAAACATCTTCTAAGGCAGCCACCTCATGCACCTTAGAAAGAAGCTGGAATTTAATATACTATTCAGCATGATATTTAAGAAACATTAACACAAAAGGAGACGTAACATGAATATGGAAAGTGTTCTATCAACTTTCTGATGTTAAATATAATTACTCAGTAAACATACATTTAACACTCACAAATGTTTAAGTGTCTCTAAATATATTAGGTTGTGATATGAACACAAACCAAACCTAAACTTTTAACATTTGCTCAATACGTTTATTGGTTTCTTATTTTCAGTCTGAGTTTTTTTCCTATTCCTATGAATGCAATGCCTTCCAAACCTTCAACACTGCTAGATGTTGTAGAAGTGATTCAAAATTTATTAGGACATGAGGGTTGGGAAGATTTGACAGATAATACATGCTAAGTAATTTTTCTTTAAGAAAACTGATAGCTTCTTTCTTCTTCTTAATCTACTTTGTGTTTCTGGAAATGTAAGGTGCACAACGGGCAGGGCTGCACCCGGTGCTCCCTGGTGGAGGTCCTTCTGCAGCAGGTGGCTGAGCTGCGGGATGCTATTAATAGGCTGCAAGATGTCAGGGTAGCTGAGAGGAAGCAGGAATGCTTGCACCCTGCCCAAACTGTGCAGGGACCTCAAGCTCCCCCTCTAGCTCATGAAGGAAAGAAAGAGGCCGTTAACCTGGGAAGCTGGGAATTAGTGGAAAAAAAAAACCAAAACAAACAAAACACAACAAACAACCCAACAAAAAAAGCAGGAAAAGGACAATTAACAGCAAGGGGCTTCCTCCAAAATCTGTTGTCCCCACGAAGAACCGCTTTGCTGTCCTGCAGGGGGCTGATGAGGAAATACATTCACGCCATGAACAACCGCCTGGTGCACTGGTAAAGAAGATCTCTGCTGGTGCTGCCAGGAAAAAGCGGCAGGTCGTAGCAGTAGAAGACTCTACTTTGAAAAGCACAGAGGCACTCATCTGTTGGCCTGACCCGGTCTCAAGGGAGGTGTGCTGCCTACCAGGGGCACGGATCAGGGATGTGGCAGAGAGGCTGCCTGCTCTAATAAGTCCCACTGAGTATAACCCACTTCCAGTGATTCATGTGGGTGCTAGGGATACAGACAGCAGTAGCCTGGAGAGCACAAAGGACTACAGAGCCCTGGGAGAGGTGGTTAGGGGCTCTGGAGCTCAGGCAGTCTTTTTGTCAATTCTCCAGGATAAAGGGGAGAACCTTAAAAAGGCCAGGAGGATTGGCCAGGTTAATTAATGGTTGAAAGGGTAGTGTCATAGTCAGGGGTTTGGGTGTCTTGAACAGGAGACCCGAGTTTGTAGGCCAGGTCTACTGGGGACTGGTGGAGCTGTGGTTTTGGTAGGAGGCTTGCCAGACTGGTCAAGGGGGCTTTAAACAAGATGTGTTGGGGAAGAGGGGCATTATTCCATCCCAACACACCCAGTCAGTTGCCAGCACCTATAATAAATGCTCAGAGCAATGTAGAGATATTCCAACCACTCCAGCCAGTGAGCCAGCTTCATTTGGAGCTTGGCTCAGATGCCTCTACACAAATGCCCATAGCATGGGGAACAAACAAGAGGAACTAGAGATGTGTGCACGTTTACAGGGGTATGATATAATAGGCACCACAGAAACATGGTGAGATAGCTCCTATGACTGGAGTGTTGGAATGGAAGGTTACAGGCTCTTTAGAAAAGACAGGCCCGACAGATGGGGAGGGGGAGTTGCTATTTATGTTAGGGATAGGCTGAACACTATGGAACTCTGTCTGGGGACAGGTGAGCAGTCAACAGGGAGTTTGTGGGTTAGGGTTAAAGGGAAAACAGTGATGGAAGACATTACTGTAGGGATCTGTTATAAACCGCCTGGTCAAGAGGAATCTGCGGATGAATCACTCTATACACAGATAGGAAAAGCCTCACACTTGCAGTCCCTTGTTCTCATGGGGGACTTCAACCACCCTGACATCTGTTGGAATGACAGTACGACCCAACACAAGCAATGCAGGAGTTTCCTCGATTGTGTGGAAGACAACTTCCTTCTGCAAGTAATAGAGGAGCCGACAAGGAGAGGTGCCATGCTTGACCTTGTGCTCACCAACAGGGAAGGGCTGGTTGGAAATGTGGCGCTCCAGGGCAGCCTTGGATGCAGCGACCACGAGATGGTTGAATTTGAGATCCTCAGGACAGTGAGAAGAGCGTGCAGCAAGCTCACTGCCCTGGACTTCAAGAGAGCAGACTTTGGCCTCTTCAGGAACCTGCTTAGTAAGGTTCCATGGGATATAGCCCTAGAGGGCAGGGGGGCCCAAGACTCTTGGTTGATATTCAAGGATCACCTGCTACAAGCTCAGGAGTGTTGCATCCCAACTAGAAGGAAGTGCAGCAGGAGGGCCAGGAGACCTCCTTGGATGGATAAGGAGCTGCTGAGGAAAATTCAAATGAAAAAAGAGTCTTATAGAAAGTGGAAGCAAGGACAGGCGGCCTGGGAAGAGTACAGGGATGTTGTCCGGGAAGCTAGGGACCAGGTTAGGAAAGCTAAGGCCCAGTTAGAATTAAACTTGGCTAGGGATGTTAAGGATAACAGGAAGGGATTCTACAGGTACATAGCAAATAAAAAACAGATTAGGGAGAACGTAGGCCCCCTCAGGAAGCTCTCAGGTGAACTAGCTACACAGGATTTGGAGAAGGCTGAGGTTCTGAATGACTTCTTTGCCTCGGTCTTCTCTAGCAAAGGCTCTGACCGCACCACCCAAGTCTTGGAAGGCAGATGCAGGGACTGTGAGAATGAAGACCTTGGGCCCACTGTAGGAGAGGAACTGGTTCGAGACCATCTTAAAAATCTGAACGTGCACAAGTCCATGGGTCCTGATGAAATCCATCCGCGGGTCCTGAAGGAGCTGGCAAATGAAGTTGCTAAGCCGCTGGCCATCA